CTGCTAATTAAAAAAATATATCTATATTGAGTTTTAATTGGTTTATGAATTCTTCTGGGCATTTAAATTTTAAAATATTTTATTCCAGATGTTCATAACAGTCGTTATTGTTCTGTTTTAGGTGCTATTTTTCCCTTTCCAACTTTCTAACTCTAATTCATTACACAGAGGATGTAAAGCTGAAAATTTCGCTCGCTTACAGTATGCAGGTCCGATGTTTAGTTGCTGAGATATTTATTGCAAAAATGCAAAAACATTTCAATGTTTTGTGAATGACGACTATTTCATTCACTACCCACAAAAAAAGTGTAAAGCTAGCCTAAAGAAGTTTTCACTTAGAAAAAGATATTGTATTGGAAGATTGGAAGATGGACTTTACAGTATTTTTGTAATTAATTTACTACAACGCTCTCATGCATCCTTATAGTTCGTGGTAAAGACCCCGTTTTATCAAATTATTAACATCAGGCTGAAATTTCGGAAATATCTTCATCTCATCGTAACCTACAAATATTTTATTTACGAAAATTCTCGGAATTGGAGCGTTTTCAGTCTGGAGGTCGGTAAACTTTATCTATTGAATTAGGTACTTAAAACTCGTAAATACCCATTTGCTTTTCTCTTGAATCGTAAGATAACTGGAGAGCAAAATTGGGAAAAAAGGTGGCCTTCAAAAATATTGAACCGTTTGGCGTGACCTACACTCGCAAATTGTCAAAAGAATGACGTTATATGGGCCAAACCTTCCAATATTTTCGTAGACCTTCTTTTTTATCGATTTTGTGATAAAATTATCTCACGATTCAAATGGAAAGTAAATAAGTATTTACGAGGTTTCAGTACCTAATTAAATATACAAAGTTTGCCGACATCCAGATTAAAAACACCCCAATCACTAGAATTTTCGTAAATAAAATATTCGTAGGTTACGATGAGATGAAGCTATTTGCAATGTTTCAGCCGGATGTTAATAAAAAGGAGTCTGTACCATGGACTATTATTTATGACATTGTGATCGAAGAAGCATCTTTAAATTTTACACCATATTAAGAATTGTCGTAGTAACATATTATTATTTTATTATACATCGTTTCAACAAAGGAACTCGACTCGCCAATAAAAAATTATATATATTTTTTTAAATTTTAATGTTACATTTATAATATTAATATTTATATCTCGGAGAATATTTCTGTAATATTCCTGGATATAGGTTTTACCCCGGCGACTACTAGCTTTTACTTTTTGTAAGGTCTCGGGCTGACCCTCCGCCGAACGTGACCGCATATTTATTGCTAAGGGTATATATACTGCCTTCCATCTGAGAATTGCTCCGTTTTTTAGGTGTTATTCAGCAGTAGGGGTGCAGCTGTATCGATTTTTTTGTATTTTATATTATATATATATATTGTAAGAGTTCTTCATCTCGATCAATAATAACTTCCTTTTTAGTAAAATAAGTTTAGGAAACCTTACTTGAAAATTACGATACTCTAGCATAAATATACGCTAAACAGGAAGTTTTTAATAATATATTTGTTTTTATAAATTGTTTTATTGAAAAATATTGCGATCTGTCTCCGTTAAGGGCATTGATAATAGAGTTTAGAGAGTATATTCATACCGTATATAAAGAAACATAAATAAATTAAGTAGTAACATAAGAATACATAGAAATAAGAACAAAATAAAATATTATAAGGAGAGCGATAAAAAAAAAAAAAAAAAAATATATATATATATATATATATATATATATATATATATATATATATATATATATACATCAGTAAGTAAAAATAAAAATAAAAGTAAAATAAATATCTTAGGTACAAGCATACCTATATACACTTTTTACAATCAGGCAGAGAAACTCCGAACCACTGTTGTCACCCCCACATGTGGAGGGAAAAGCGAGGCTTAGGAGATCCCTGCGCTTTTCCCTCAACCACTTCACTGGTATTTAAAACCAGCGGAGGATGGGCTATAACCGCAGACAATAATTTATTAAATTCAATAATTTACTGACACTTAGAAAATTAAAATTTTATTAAATCATTAATAGTTATAAATGAAAAAGTATTTTTCTTGCTATGTAGTTCATTGCTCATAGATTTTTTTTGTGTGTAAATTTGTTTTGTTTTTTCGTTTTTAAACTATCGACATTACTTTATAGTTGAATTATGTCTCCGTCAGGCGTTTTGGATATACCATGCCGCATAACTAAATTTTTTACCACTGCAATTCTTTCCTATACACTATGGAGGTATTTCATGTATTGGTAAGCGAGGTAAAAGAATTTCAAAGTTCATCGATATATTGTAATCTTCAGTTTTAAATGACGATTTGCAAATCAAATGTTCTGAAAGAAAAATCGAAGTCAAAATGGTTCTAGACAATTTTGACTAATGACAATGAACTAAACAATTGTCAAACTAATACTAGACAAGTTTAGTTACTATATATAAAGAATTGGTAGAACCAATATACTTATGCATTTAACTCTTTGGGGAGAGTTAAATGGGGAATGGGAGTTTCCCCATTATAAAAAATTATAACAATATATCTATAGTAATAAGCTAGTTGGTAACTGTAAGACTTGTAATAAAAAGTAACCAAGACTCGCATTTGGGCAACACAAATCATGATGCTAACTAATAGCTGACAAACTGCATCAACCAATTCGCTTCTGAACTATGAATAAAATGTGTTTTCTAATCTTATACAAGTCAAGAGAAGAAGAGATTGTAGGATCAGAGAATCTATGCAAACAGATGTCACCCTTTACTTTGGTCCCAGATTTCTTTTAAGTTACTTTTTCTTCCTTCTTTTTGTTTCTTATAGAAAAGAAGTTAGCAGGCTTTATCAACCGCTCCGGTTCTAAAAGTTTAAATTGCTTTAAAAGTTATGAACTCTCTAGTCACTATGTCCACCTGTCTTAGTCGATTCGGTGCAGGTTTAAATCTCGCCTCTGTTCCTCGGATTGGTTCTGAACTGAGATAGGTTTCCTACGCAAGTTTTTATTTATTTTTTTCTGTTCCAACTCTATTATAGTTATTTAGGAGATGCGTTTTAGGTCTTTTTCGTTGTTAAAAAACGTGTATGATTTTGTTCAGTACTAGTTATTTTAAAAATTAAGAACTTTTAAAATTAAGAAAATTTCATTTAAGTACATTATCAAGACATCGTTCAGAATTTAAAATGACCGGTTTAATTACCAACCTCGGTACAAGGTGGTTAACGTGTTCAGGTTGACCGCTCGTTAGTGTATAACGATATTTTGAGCAAACGATTGTAATTTTAAGTTTTACGGTTACAATCCAAAATCCTTCGTAAAATCCTCAATGCTCTCTACTTTGTCACAAATAAGATCATCCATATCTACCTTAATGTCCCATATGCCGCTGATTTAGCTCAGTCCAGATACCTATCCTTCTATAATAAACTACTGAACCATCCGAACCCTCTTGTTTCTAATCTTGCTTCCTCTTATATTCCTGATAATTCTCCGAGGTGTCTGAAAAGAAGGTGGCCTCGGACCTTCTAATGTAGAAATATAATTGGAGTGCTAGATTGAAATTAATAATACATCAATAAATTACTTAAATACCATACAATTACTAAATCTTACCTAAAACAAGAATTGTGTGGCTTAATATAAAAATCGGACATCATTTCCAGAAGTCAATTTTTATTGTATAGGTTTAGCTTTAACTGTTTCTGATTTTTAAATTTCAGAATGCTCAAGTTAACAATAATCTAAAAAAAAAAAACAAACATTAGAATTGGTTTAAATTGAAGCTTTGATACAAAAAAAATGACAGATGCCCTTCTGTGATATTAAGACACTGTAATAATGCGGTATTAAGTTAACACTTTAAAATTTCAACTTTATATATTTATTAGAAAATTTGTGGTGTTCCCAATGTCCGCCCTAAATTTGTTCTCCGTTTGTTTGGAAAAGAAATAGCTTCCTGACAAACGTTAGAATTTCTAAAAAAAAAAAATTATAGGTTTTAAATAGTTCTATATGGTCATGGAAAACATACTACTAACCGCAATATGATGTTATAAATGGTTGGTAATTTAGTCTCAACTTAAACAATAATGTCATTGAAAATGGATTTCAATGATAAACTGCTGGATGCGATTTAGTCTCAATATTATTAATTGCAAGTTAAATTAAATGTCAGCCAGTTAGCAGAATTAATTAACAGTAACAATATTGCATGATATAACTGTTGGTTAAGGCAATCATGTAGCGTCCAATTTATAGTCACTGAAATATTCATTTTATTTTATCAATAATCATTATATTATTAAATATTCATTTTATTTTATCAATAATATATTATATCCTTAACCAAGGTTAAATAAAAATTAAACCTTATGGAAATTTTCATGTAGTAAATTTGACATAACTTTATTATTATTTTTTTATTTAATTTATTTTATTGAAAAGGCAATAATATTGTCCTTTAACCGCTATGTTAGTTCGTAATCGAGGTAACGATTATTCGTATTATTAAAGTACAATCTCACTGTTTTTATTGTGGTGAAAATTTCTTATTGAATGGCCGGGCTAAAATTTAGTATTATAAATAAAAAATTGTTTAAATAATGAGAAGATTATGAAATTTAAATTGCTTCAGCATAAGAAATGAGTCTCCGGTATTTTTTTGTTATCTTTTATGTTATATTTATTTCCTGATTACCAGAGTTTGACCATGAATAAATCGCTTATAGAAACGCGAATAGAATTAATAATATTAAAGGTAAGAGAAGATTTCAGACTAAGAAGCTGTTAAAGAATTCAAAAATAAAAAAGTATTAAATCTGCAATCAATGCATAAAAGGCATGGAGTATTTTTAATGATGGTGCTGAAGAAATTACTATTGCATTCCCATCACCAGAAGGAGCAGAGAAATTATGAAGGGCCGCTTAGAGAGCAAAAGGAATAGAAAAAAGTTGGATTGGAAAAGGAAGAGGGGATCATTAATTAGAAAACTCGGTGCTTTTGAAGCGGCGGGTGGAGGGGCCAAGGCACAACAGTTTTTTGATCCCCCTTGGATACCGGGACTTTTTGAGCCCCCTTGGATACCGGGCCTTTTAAGGCCAACTGCTTAGCATCCTCAGGCATCTTCTTCCTCGAGCAGCCATTGCCCCCGAGGCAGAGGAAATGTGTAACATAGCTATTTGTCCTTAAACAACATAACTTTAACAAATAACTATTATGAAAAAACTGACACACAGTGGGCTGTCCTAGGCATTAACGGATCCAGGATTTAATTTTGGAGTGGACGCTGCAGCCTGAATTTTTTTTTTAATGTATTATGATAATTATTTTAGAGCAAAAAGAAAGACACTAACTACCTATATGGAATGGTGTTTAAGTGATTCTTTAAGCCCTATTAAACAATAATAGTTTTGGAGATGGTTTTTTAATATTTTTTCATAAGATGTTGATGTATTTTTCCATTTTAGGGGAGGGAAGCTTCAGCCCCTAAGAACTTGAATGACAAAATAGATTCGAAATTTCTTGCAAGCAACGTTTCTTGATGTATAAAGAACATTTAGGAATTTTAAAAATAAATAAAAACACTTCGAGTTCTCTCGCAAGGCCATCTGTAGGCCCTAGCAGTTGCCCGCTCTGACAACCGACAATTAAGACCGGGTTGGATTACTCTGCGTGACTTAACGAAACTGCTGCTACAATCAATTACCGCAACCAGAATCGAAACAGAACTGCCATGGGTCAGAATGTTAGGCATTAAAAACGGTCGAGATAGTATTTCAAATACTAATAATTTATTTTCATCCCATATTAACAAAATCGAAAAACCTAAAGTGTATTAGAACACACGATAGAAGTTAAAACATCAAATAGGCGAGATTAATAATATAAAATATAAATAATAAAAATTAGCTCATTATAAAGAGGATGAAATGATAAACAACTCCCTGGCTTATAATATGCACGTCCGATTTTTAGTGTATGAGATATTTTAATCCATATCTTCAATAAAACTCGTTATCATTTGATTTTCGACACTATTTGTCCCTTTTCGCCTCTCTAGCACGGCGTCGCGTTAAGATACAATTTTGAGTAATAACTCATTAAAAAGAGAATGAAATGATGAACATTTTAATATCTGTGCAAACACACTTCAATTAGTCAACTTTACCCGAGCGTTACACATCGGTGATCTGACGGATCAATGTAATTCACTCTCCATAAAAAAAGTGCAAATGCACCTAAAGAAGTTCTCACTTCAAAAATAAATGGGAATACATTCACGCAAAAATATTGAACTCGATTAACGCAACGAATTAGGATCAGATTACTTGTACATGGAGGAGAAAGACCAGTATAGAGCTGCTTACAGAAACTGGTCAATCAATATCTTATGATATGAAGGCAAAGAGACTAAGAGGCGTGTGGCTCGGAGGAATCTATTAGGAAGTCTCTAAACAAGGAAGGCCACAAAACAGGTGGACCAACAAAGCTGGAATAGAGCTGCACGCAGATAACTGGAAAGAAATAGCCTAAGAAACGCAGAGATGGAATATGTTGCTTTAGGCGGCAATAGGTCTGTAATTCCAAAAGAAAAAGAAAATCATGCAACCTCACACAAACATATATATTGTTGTTACACGACAACATTCGCAACAGTTAAGGAAATATTTAAATCTAAAAAGTTTTGGAATTATAAAATATTTCTGTATTCAAAAAAAAAAAAAAAGATACTTTGAATAATTTAATAACCATAAAACATTATGTTTTTATTATTGAAATTTACAACTGTATTAAATGATAAATACAACCACCAAATATGAAAAAAGTAACATGACATATACTACATGAAGAGAAACTACCCAATGATGTCCGATTTTTATATTAAGCCACACAATCCTTGTTTTAGGTAAGATTTAGTAATTCTATGGTATTTAAGTAATTTATTGATGTTTCATTAATGTCAATAAATATATCTTGTTTTCGAATCATTTTACTCGTACATTTAAAGCTAAATATAATTATTAATATTGTTAACTTATTCTGTAAAATTTTTGTTAGGGATTCATTAATTATTAATTAATTTTAAGATAGATGAACTGAGTTTTTTTTCCGAAGTATATTAATCAATATCATTCAAGTTATTTTGCGTAGAACCATTTATTAGTATTATGCAAACATTTCTGGGAATTTATCAAACTTCGTTTTTAATTAATAAATTGTTACTGTTACCCTTTGACTTCTCAATCCCTTGTGTTTAATTATTAATTGATAATTTGACGAATGTTTAATTAAAACAAATCACTACCAAAATTAAAAATCCTTTCAATGGAACATGAAGCTGTAATTATCATGGTTTCATTTCATTTCCAGGACTCTACAATTTAATTATCCAAAAAATCATTTCCTCTCTCCAAAGGCCGATTTATAGCCTACGGTTCCTCGAAATTTGTATTTATTGGTATCGATTCGGTTGAACTCTCGTTTTTTTTTTACGGGAAAATTCGTTTCGGTAGTATTTGATAAATATATAGTATTTATATTTGTAATTTCTGGGAGTGATAGACTGCGGCGAAGAGCGGTATAGACTGAGCTGACAGTGATTGAGCGGTGGAGCCTCGATCAAATGAGCAACAAATCGCGGGCGGGGCATTCAGTTAAGGGAGAGGGGGTATTCCATCTCCCGCCTATTTCTCTTCCAATGACGGGTCCATTCATAACTGGAGCGGCAAGAACAATGCACTTCTAGCCACTCGGAAAGAACATTTCTCAGCTCAGCTAGGTCTCTATATTCGATTAAAATAGCTACATTTAAAACAAAAGACCAGTTTTTATTGGATTTGTAAAAAAACTGCTATGCGCATATACTTCAATAAGTTTATAACTTTATTTAAAAGTGAATAAAATAGTCCAATGAAAGCATGTCTAATAAATCACACTAGTTGGCCATGCGAAAAATTTGCAGAAAATTTTGTTTAGTGAAGAAATAGTAAAACAATATGGAAATAAGTAGTTCCTATGTACTATGTAAGGAAGGAATTAATACTTTTTCCTTGGTCGATTACAATATTCCATTAAACATAATATACCAAAATATTTATACAAATTGCTTTGCTAGGACATATTTTTAAACGCTAACTGGAAAGATAATAAAAGTAATACAGACAAAATAATGCCCCGATCATAGCATATTTTAAATTATTAAAAAAAAATATAATGTAAGAATAACCAAATGTCTTTAACAAGTAATAAAGTTAATATAAAAGCAAGGGTAAAAAAATGTAGTAGACTATTCTACTCCTAAATGCAATATCTTTAAACAGAAAGACATTATTAAGTATACCAAAACTAATGGACTGTATCTTTGTTAATAATTGTCCGAATTTTACGATTTTTTGTTTGTTTTGTAGGTTATTTAGTGATCGTTTTATTATGATGGGTGCAATCGAGAAAAAAGTGCATACTTTTTGAGTTATTCGCAAATAAAGTTTCTTTTCCTCTATAACTTTTTTTCCAGAAATTTTGGGGGAACAGGACTATTTTTCGCATGTGAAGGAGGAGAACATCTTCAAAATGAGCGGTCAATCATTGGATTTGATGAAGAATTGACGAAGGTATGGCGTATCAACAAAAAAAAAACACCTTTTAGAAATAATATAAAGGATTTAAAAATTAAGTTTAAAAATGAATATAATCTTCAATGTGATATATTTACTAGTTACCACGTGTTTTGACTAGGATTTTTTTGACTAGCATATGTTGAATATATTGAATATAACGTCTAAATATATATATATATATATATATATATATATTATATATATATATATATATATATATATATATATATATATATTAAAATAGGACATAAAAAGATTATTGGTGATAAATAATTCATCCTAAAAAATGTCTGCATTAAATAAATACAATGTAATTTTTTAAAATATATATTTTTAAAAAAATATATAACAAACGAAAATATTGGGAAATTCTAAAATTCTTACAATATTTATATACAAAAGGAAAATAAATATAAATATTTAAATAAAAAAAAGAAGTAAATTTTAAAGAAAAAGTAGTCAAATAAAATAGATCGAAACTGAGTAAAATCAAAATAAATTAAATAGTCATATATATGTACAATATTTACATTCCCCTAGGGGACACCGATTCAAGCTATGTCCTCCACATGTGGAGGGAAAAGCAGGATTCTAAGAGATACCGGCGCACCGCTAGTATTTGTATATACGGTCTCAGCTGGATTTTAATATGTTGAATACAGATCGATAGTGACTAAAAGTTTGATGGGTTGACGACAAGAGAGCAACATTATCAGCTGTTGTAGATCCTAACTTGGGACAAATTGACGGCGCCCCCTCCCCCTTCCTGAGAAGTTGCCCTAACAAACACAAACTCTTGCCAGTGTTTGCACATTTGACTTGAGCGCGTCAAGTATTTCGGACGGGGAAAACCCTCCAACTGCCGCCTATCACAACACTGCTCTAATTCCTTCCAGGTTCCGATTACCCCTCGTTGGCCGAATGTGAGATCTTGTGTGGTTTCCAAAGGGTATTGAATCGTTTCATTCACTTTATATTAAGTTTATTCACACTTTCATAGTTTTTGTTGGTTCCAAATTGTTATTTAGATTCATTTAAAAAAAAAAAATCAGACTCTTTGAAGATCTAGTTAAAAGGCCGGATGTGCCCTAGTATGAAATGAAATGAAAATAGATTTTTATTATCCTGAGACTGTTGTCCCTTTAGGACAAATTAATGATACAGATGAAATGTTGGTGTGGCCATAAAATTAAATATTTGCAATTCCCATTAAAATTAAAAAAAAAAACACTAAATACATACAGATATATATAATAGAAACATGTGAAAATAAAATAACATTAGTAAACAAAATCATTTCTGGAGGAACTTAAAAAGTTCTCTTATCTACTTTTCATGATCAATCGGGTTGGGAAAGAAGTAGGTGCTTAAAAAAAGAGAGATTTAAATGAGGAAACTGATTGTGCATGTCGGATATCGGGAGGGATGGTATTCCAGGTGGAGACAGACGGCTTGAATTATAAAGGATTTGGCCAACGTAGCAGTTCGGTGAGGAGGTCAATAGAGGTCAGAAGTACGGGATCTAGTGGGACGGGATTGAAAGGAATATTTAAATTGTAGGCTGTGAAACATATAGGAAGGTCGCTGAGTTCTGATGGCCAGGTATAGAAAGGTAGCAAGGAAGGCGGTTGGATGGATAGAGCCGCTTCAACTTGATGTAATACTGGGTTATATGCGTACCTCTTGAGATTCCGACAAAACGTATTGCGCAGTTCATTAGGCGTTTAAGTTTGGCCTCGAATTCTCCCGAGAGTCCGCCATACACCAGACGAAGTGGAGGAACACAAGGGAGGAAACTAGGAGTTGTCAGGAATTATATGGAAGGAAATAGCGACGGTTAAACTGTTTCAGTGTAGAGATAGTACGTGTAGTAGTACTACGTGAAAAATGGGAGATGTGTGGTTTACATGTCGTTTGATCAAAGGTAACACCAAGGTTTTTTACTGAAGTATGGAATGAGATAGAGTTGTTCAGGAAAAGATTGGGGAGTTTCGGTAAGGATTTGAGGAGTGAGAGAGTTCCGATCAGGATGGCTTTTGTCTTCTCGGAGTTTAGAGTAATTCTATTGTGGTTTGCCCAGGCACAAATTCCGGGTATGGTGTCCAAGTAGGGTAATCTACTAGAGCCAGAATAAGATTACCATCCTAAAGTCCTTTATATATCATGTATTACGCATGCATTAACCCTCAGTAAACTGTCTCTTTAATTTAACTACTGTTTATATGATTTTTCCTTATTTTATTGGTATATTGTCGATGAATGGATGAATTGATAAGTTCATTCTATTATAAGTGTTTCACTTATTACTAATGTCACTGATATGTTGCTAACTTATGCTTGCTAAGTTATACAAGATCCCCATCTGGTGCAGGCTGGATAAAAAGAAAGAAAGGGAAGATCGGATGACTCAGAGCCTACTCATCGCCGAAGATCGGGACGGAAAAAGAACGCCCTGAGGACGAAAGGCTTCCAAGAAATAAATTATAAGAGAATGCTGTTAGTGCAGTCACCGCCTGTGCACGGAAGGTGGAGTGAGTGGCGCGGCTTCCATTCAACGTATTCTGCTAACCAGCCAATTTAGGAAATATTACGATTTAAAAATCTCAGGATTTAAAAAAAAAAATTTTCTTCAAAATATTTAAAAGGCCTCCTGAATAGTAGGTTGTTGTAAATTGTAAAATTGTATCGTTAAATGTTTGCATTTCGAAGTATTATCCTACTTTAAGGTCCACTAGAATGTTACAGCAAATTTTTGTAGAAACGATTTTTTCATTCTTTATCAGCTGGCGTTACGAACTTCACTATTTCCCAAAGCTAATAATTTATTATTCAGTGATTCTTTTACCTATATTATTGTCATCGTTGTACACATTATTATGATTTTCTTTCTCATTGTTTCTTAGACTATTGTGTTTAAAGTTGTCTTATATAAATCTACCACAATGCACTACCAGATCCAGGATTTAATTTTGGGGGACTTCAGCCCGAAAGCTTTTTTTTTTTCATATATATAATGATAATTAATTTGAAAAAAAAAAGAAAGAAACTAACTACCTTTATGACATGGTGTTTAAATGATTCCTTATATTATAGTCCTATTGAATGTAATTACACGAACAATAATACTTTAAGAGATAGTTTTTAATTTTTTTTCTATAAAACATAGTTATATTTTAACTTATTTAACCTGTTACTTGGCAATAGTAACTTCCAATTATTAACAATACGAGTATATTTTTAACGTTACATGTTAACAGTCTAGTTTACGTTTCGGGATCTTTTATTCCCATCTTCAGAACTGCAATTATAATACTCTTGTGGATGCAAGGCTTGATTCTAATAATAATAATAATGATGTGCTCCATCGTCATTTTTCTAATTTATGTTCTAAAATTTCTAAAGTTTCTCAACCCAATTATTGGTCAAAAGGAGAATGTTGCTCTAGATGATAAATTTTAGAACATAAATTAGAAAATTGACAATGGAGCACATCATTATTATTATTATTAGAATTAAGCCTTGCATCCACAAGAGTATTGGAATTGCAGTTCTGAAGATGGGAATAAAAGGTCCCGAAACGTAAACTAGACTGTTAACATGTAACGTTTAAAATATACTCGTATTGTTAATAATTGGAAGTTATTATTGCCAAGCAACTAAATAAATTGACAACTTCCCAGGAAAAAAAGAAAAAAAAAAAAGATTATATTTTAACATTTTGGGAGAGGGCTTCAGCCCGAAAGCCCCTCCCCCGCTTAACTCCGCCTGTGCCACAATGTAGCTGTTAGTCAAATTAATTTAATCTATTTTTATTGTTTTGTTATACTAACCTATTGTTGAAGCCTAATTTGTCTAAAGGCGGAGCACAGCTATTATATTTATAGATTTTTATTAACATTTTCGTGTGTTCAATAATGTTTTATTTTATTGAAATTAGAATTAAAATCATTATGAGTCATTCAGTAATTAATTATTATAATAAAAATATTACAAAATTTATATACATATACATACATAATATTTTTTATTGTTT